ATTGTGCACCATTCCTTGTTGATATATAAACACACAGTCCACCACCATGAGTCTTTCTGACAGTGATGATCCCCTGTTGGCTCAGTAATAAGTTAGCCTCCCCAGCAGTTCTTTATTTGAAGCTGGTGGTTCATCGTCCTCACTCTGCCAATCTCAAGAACCTCCTGGTGACTGTAGCTGTATTAAAGGTGTTTTTTATTTTCTTTCAGTTGAATACACGTACAAACACAAAACAAAGTCTGTGAAAGGCCGCTGCGTCGGCACGTGCCACCAGACTCCTCATTCATCATACATATAAACACTGAGTGAGGTTGAATAGAAACAGCAGGCATCTCAAATCGACCAACCCGTGGCAAGGTGGGAGTTCTGATTTTATTACTTTTGCTGCTTTCTCCCTTCTGATTAACCTTAGTGCTTGGTAATTTTAAACATACCGTAGCTTAAAGCAAGATACCACATTTTAGGGGCACACTAACAAAAGCTGTTCAGAAGTTGACTTTAAATGTATTTAGAGCCATTCCTCTAAAACACTTTACCCTCTACAAGCATCCTGCTTTCATTATTAAACGGACATCATCATGACTTGCTATTAGTCATCAGTCTCTTCATTTACTTCAAAATGTCTGGTCCTCGCCATGTATTTAAATTCATCCTGCAGTCACACACTTGAACCATCACACCCTTGCTGCTCTAAGGGATGAATTATATGGATGAATACTGGTACGACATGGAGCAGTTCTCACCAGTCACCTCTGCAGTCATGTTCATATATATATATATATATATATATATATATATAATGAAAAGAGCTTTAAAACTACCACTCTAGTGCCAGTGGCTCATCATATTCTGTCTGTGTAATCCTTGCATCAGTTTGAATCTGCTCGTTTATCATCTTACATCACCCCGCTGCACCATCACCTTTTCATCTCTTCTGGGGTCGGTTAGTCCCACATCAGGCCGGTTTGTTTTGGACGGGCGAGACTCATCAGACAGCAGATGCAGCAGTTTTAAGATGCTGTGACATTGCTTTTTCCCTTCTCACTCTGCATTCCACATTCCTTTCCTTCCTTTCCTCACCTTTAGCCTCCCATCCTCTCTGTCTCTCATGCAGCCCAACTCACTTCTTACTCCTCTCTCTGTACCCGGTCACTCGTTTTTCCCCAGTGTTCCTCCCAATTTCTCCTTACTTTGATCAGCAGCGATTGTCAGTCACAATCCCACCTGTCTGGACCAATATGGCTGCCCTGACACAAGGGGGGGAGGAGGAGGACCTAGAATAACAATGGAGGAGGAGTGGAAGCAGAGACAAGTTTGACAGAGTCACCTTGGCTTCCGTGACAAACTTTATTTTGTAAATCATAATGATGAGAATGGCTGGGCTGAAGTAGCTGTAGTGTGTGAAGAGGGCGGAAGGGAGAGATAGATTGTGGACTTGGAGAGAAATAGAGAAAGCAAGAGATGGGTGGTGCGATGAGAGAGATGTTCTTTCATTTTAATTAGCTAAATTTGTACAATATAGATTTAAAAGGTTTGTAATAAATTGGACTTTATCTCTCCTTCTTGGAGTTTACTGTTTTCTACCATCTCAGGTACATTTACTGAAGTTTGGGGTAAGAGTTACTTAGTTTTGATATATTAGCTCAGTTTAGCATAAGATAGCACAGAGCAACAGCCTGCTTAGCAAACTCCAAAGTCCTAAAGCACACATACCAATCTAAAGCTTCAACATAGTAGGTTGGTTAGTTTTTTTCCTCAAATTAAAAACGAAACTTATTTCTCTATGGTCCTAGTTTTTTAGCAGGGAGACAGGACTGTGGTATCAACCTTCTCAGCTCAATTTCAACAAGAAATCAACAATTACATTTCTTAATTTGCTGAACTACACCTGAAAATAATCTAATTATTATTTTCAATAGCATTTTTTTTATTTTGCATCTTAAACATGACCCTTTGGGAACCATTCTTCTCATTATATGGATTTTTATTGTCTTAATATGACTGTGATGAAGTATATAATAAGTAGTCTGCAACTGATGGTTATTTTTGTCATTGATTAATCTTGTATCTTTTAAATTAAAAAGATACAGTGCTCTATGGCCTGTGGTCACCGGCACCTACTACCATGTACCATGTTCATATCAGAGAGAGAATGTATTTAAAAAGCTCCTTCAACTTTTTACAGATCAATCAATTGTTATCAGAGCAACAAAAAAGAAAAGTAATATATGCCAATTAAATGTTTAGTAATAATAAACATTCATGAGGGAAGATATTTTCTTTTGTCAAATGTTTGTTACTGACCAAAGCCCCTTTTGAAAAATAGACAATTTGTGCAACCCTACCCTACCCAGGAATCCATTTTTAAACAAATACTTTATAGCATGTCTTATACAACCAAAGTAGCTATTCATTATGCCACAACTTGCCACAACTTAACATGACTGTCCTGATGGGC